CCTCCAGAGCTGAGCTGCGAGCGCCTCAGGCTACGTACAAATGGAGCCGTTAGCTAACGGGCGGCCAAAACCTCTGGAGCAGAATCAAAAGTGGAGTTTTGGAGCTAGCAAAATGTTAATTCCTCCTTTGCAAGTCTGATTTCAGGCTTGATTTGAAATAGCAGATTCGCTTCCTTGAGGGAGCTAATTCTCAGCTGCCCGGCTAACCTCTGCCACTTCTAACCGTGGGCCCGGCGGGCACAGCTGGGCGAACTGTCGGCGCTAGTATTTGCGCCCGCAATCACCGGCTCTTAACTCTCCTCATTCTTGTGAAAGCTGCACAAGCCAATCCGAGCTGAAGCCAGCACCAGCAGGGACGGCAGCCCTGGGGTGCGAGGCTTTGGAAGCAGCTTGCAAGCTCCCATCAGACCCAAGGAGGATGCCTGTCTCGTGCGCTCTCAGCATGGAGCCCAGGGGTTCTGGCTGGGTTTTCATTCATATTCCCAGCATAACCCAGGTGCCTCAAAAGCAAAAGACTCTTTGGCCTGAGACCTTAGGAAGTGAAACCAGCGAGTGTCCCAGCTTCCCACGCATTTCACGACCTGCGGTAGCGATACAAGTCTGCTTCTTACTGCCGTGTCGAAACAGATCTCAGTGCTGGTCTCATGATCCTGCCACCCCTGTCTGCCGCTTCTCCCAACCCTGTCCTGCTCCTGCTGGCCCTCACCTCCCTCTACTCACTGACCTCTTGCACACTGGGGTGGAAAAAGTAGAGTCCTCCCCTCAGTCCTCAGCCAGGGGGGAAGCCTGCAGCCCTAGAGGTCTCACACATCCCTCATCTCCTCCAGACAGTGATTCACAGCTGCAGACCTGCAGCCAGGCTGGGATTTTCAAAGGAGTTACGCACCTAACTCCCCACTGGGCTCTTTTCAAAATTCCAGCCTAAACTCAGATGATCCCTCCTGAGGCATCAGTAATTCGCCAGGTTTCCCGACTCCCAGGCCTGTGCTCATTCCCACAGGCCACACGGCACCCAGGGGCACTGGTGAGCTTCGGGGTGCGGGGAGACAAGGGGCAGGGCTGGCCTAGCAGGGAGAGTTGTAGGTCAAGATCAAGGGGCATGAGCAGAGCGAGGTGCGGGGAACCCTGGTGTGGAATAGCGGGAGTGCTGCAGGTCAGGAGTGAGGTGCAGCAGCACCAAACAATGTGGGGGAGCTCAGGCTCATACGGGGTGCAGGGCAGAGATGTGAGGAGTGCAGGGGCGTGGCTCTGCCATCACTGCAAGAACAGGGGGTGCTGCAGGCCGGAATTGAGGTGCCTCAGCAGAGCTGTATCCTCTGAAGCTTATACAGCACCCGCCCTCGTTAAGCCAAGGGATTCGTCCATCGCTCTGCTAAGCAGACAACAGTCCAGTTTTCATCTTTGACCACTGCAGCGATGCACCACGGGATGCTGAACAGACTGCTCCCCCCCACCATTTGAAAAAAAGCAGATGACAGAAATACTGCTGTGTCTGGATCCGCGGCACCCTATCCAATTTGGCATCACGCAGGTGAAAGGGCGGAGAAAGGAGCTGAGAAGATAAATGGGTTTCAGTGGGATATGGAGACTTAACTTCCAGACGAAGACAGCGTGATGATGGAGTTTAATAAACTGGCGGTTTAGGCAAAGCTGTGATTTCCGCTCAAACCTGGGATTTGTCGGGCTAGAACAGCGCACGTTGAGAAAGATTACACCTTGCTAGCTGGCTCGGGGGCTGTTCCCTGCCAGAGGGGTGAGCTTTAAAGATGAAGGTTTGTCTTGAATTATAAAGCCACAGGATGCCTGACGCGGCTCCTAGAGCCAGGTACGGAACGCTTGTTTGAGCGTGTGGTTAAAGGCTGTTTCATTACGCCACGCGGCCGTCCTGGGGTATTTACGACCATACCGTTCACTGCTGTTCCAAACTCCTGCCTGGGGAACGGCCTTCTATTTGTATGATCCGAAAAGCGCGCCTGTGTCCATGCACGGAGTCAGGCCAGGTGCAAATGCGCATTCAGATGCTTCGTTACCCCTCTGCCTGTGCAGTTGTCCCGTTTGCTCGTGCAGAGGCAGCCGGGACGCAAGTTCCACACTCCGCTTGTGAATGTGGTCTCGGACATTTGGGCAAAGTGAAGAGAAGCTCCCGGGCTCACCCGGAAGGAAACACCCACCATGTATAGCACACGGCTTCATTTGCCTAGCTCAGAAAGACGACTCAACCCCACAGCGTTTAATAGGATTCCGGGGGGGGGGGGGGGGTTCGGAACTGGGGGCCTACGCAGCCTGGCTGCTGCTCTGTGTAGATCTCACACTAGAAAGACCCAGTTTAAAACCCCTGGTCAGCAAAGCAGCTCCAAACTAATGACAGGTCAGTCACATCCCCGGACGGGAACTTCCAGGCCCAGCCATCACTCCGCTTCGGATTCAGAGCCTCCCCTTCTTCCCCCAACGTTTTCCCATAGCTCCTCACTCCTTATTTTCCTGGAGGTTGGACTATAATCTCCCCATCCAGCCACTGCGCTCTGCTCTGAGAATCAATACTATGCCTGCATCTAGCCCCTCTTAAAATCCATCCCTGGCTCCCTGGCCCCTTCAATTCCTTATTCTCTAAGGCCCTATGCAGCAGAGCTCAGAACATCCCCTTTCATTCCCTCTGCCAAGGCCTCTTTGCTCAAAGGGCAGGAGCGTCTTCCTATCTTGAAAGCACCAGAAAGTCCCTCTGTTCTTTCTTTATCTCTTCACCTGCCTGCCAAGCGTGACAAACAAAGCCCAGCTCTGCCTCTTGGGCTGAAAACACATGGAGGGGCCATCTGCCTAATTATCATTTCAAAGACAAAGTGCGAAGGGAATATGCGAGGCCAGGGCGGAATTCACGCTGGAAAACTCGCCGTGTACCACCAGTTCGAGTCAGCTAATCGGATTTCTAACGTGCTCTAAGGGACGCATGGCTCGGCCTTCTGCCTCCGACAGGCGGAAATACACTTGCCATCGTCAGCGCAGCTCAGAGGCCCGGCCCCCAGCTACGCGATGAGCATGCTCATGGTTCATTAGCCACCTGCCCTCTGTCGAGAGAGGCTGTGTTCCACATTTAATTTTGCACAGAGAACAGGGACTGAGCAGGTGGAGTTCCCCCCCTGCTCCAGACAGGGGGCGGGTCTACACGACCGCTTAAGTCGATCTAACTTACGTTACTCAGGGGTGGGGAAAAAGTGATCCAAGTTCCAGAGACCTAAGTGCTATCCACACTGGCGCTCTGTCGGCGGGGGACGCTCTCTCAGTGGCATATGGCGTCTTTGCCAGACGCGCTGCATCGGTGCAGCTGCGCCAATGTAGCGCTTCTAGTGTAGACACGCCCAGAGTAAAACCAAACCGCTTGCACTCCACCCTTTTCCCTCCCCGGGGCTTGTAACTCAAATCAAAGCCTCAACCTGAGTTCTCCCCCAAACGGATCTGCTCCTGGACCGTCCTTGCAGGACCTCTTCTGCCTCAGCCCTTCATTCCCACAGCCCCCAAGAGACACACCAATCCCTCTTGTACCTGGGGCTAGCTAACGGGATCCACCTGCCAGCATCAATCCGCTGCAATCACTCCACCCCCGCCTGTAATTACTCACATGCCTGGCTTTAACGCCAGAGACTTTCCCAGCAGGCTCTAGCACCCAACACTTATTAGGGCCCCCCCTCATCTCGATCCGCTCTAGACCTCTCTGGGAAGAGCCCATTTGGGGAACGGGTTTCGGTTCAGGCAGACATCTGCCAGCTGTGATGGGTTCCGCAGCCACGCAGCTGTGGGCGTCTCTCAAAGGGATACCGGGCTGCCCTGGAACTAACCCATTGCCCTTGAGGGCACCACACAAGAAACATGAGTGCGAGTCTCCGCCCTTGACCCATAAGCCGTTGGGTCGGAGAGCCACACGGAAGCAGGATGTTCTGCCCCAGTGGGGAGAGAGCGGAACATCCCTCGCCAGGAACGGGCCCCGGTCCTGTCCGTTCTTCTCCTGACCAAGGGTTGGTGGGGACTGTGGAAAAATTGGGGGGGGTCACAGGACACAAGGGGCACCCAGGGGACATAATAAGGGAGCGGACACAGGTTCCACAGCCACTGCCGAGCCAGGGGCTTTAATGTGGCCTTGGCAGCCTCCCTGCGAGTCGCTGCGGTGCGGCCGTGTCACCTCAGCACTGCACAATAGCTCGGGGAGGAATGATCCCGCTGCCCCAGCCTGGCTCAGCAGCTGCTGGTGGCACGTTGACCCAGCAGCCGGGGCGGCGTCCCTAGCAGGGGGCACGCAGCAAGGGAGAGTTCGGTTACATCCGATTCGAACATGAGCCCCACTCACCCAGCCAACCGTGCAGCGAAGACACTGGGACGCCCCCCGCTGCTGCATTAGTCCAGGTAGGTACGTGCTGGGATGCAATTCCCAGCAGGGGACTTGATGCCTGTGCGCCGGTTGTGATGCAGAGTTCAAGCCGCAGGGTGCAGCTATCGGCCAGACCAGCCAGGCGCCACAGCGCGCATGGACGGGAGGCAGAGCTGTTTTGAGGAGGCCTCCTGTACTCTGCTGCACTCGGGGTCTCCTGTGCTAGCAGGGGACTGGACTCAATGTCCCCTAGGACTTACCAGCCGGTCATGGCTGGATAGTGTCAAGGTAGCTGTAGGTGGCAAGTGGCCAGATGAAGGCAATCCCGCCACGCCCTTTGCTGACCCATTTGCTGGGGGCAGCTTGGGAGATTTTCCATGCTTTGGCCGTGCTTGGAAAGGCCAATGGGAGCCTTGCCTAGTCCCGGCCAATGGCCTTTGCTCGTGAGCACTGCACACGCCCATTAGCGTGGCATCGTCTACCGTCCTTCAGCTGGCACTGCCCATGCCCAGCGCCTCGAACGCTCGGATAAGCCTCTTCGAACAAAGCCTCTGAGGCGCCGAAGGCAAGAGCAGGAATTTGTTGCTCGGGGCTATTTAAAAAGGCGGGCAGGGGAGCTCATGAATCTTTGGCTCGTACTCACCGGCTCCTGGAAATAAAGCTGAGAGTCAGACATAGGACGGGCTTTGATCATCTCCATGACATCCACTTTGGGGTCCGCAGGTCTGTAGGGCATGTTCAGTCCAGCCACTGCCCTAAGACACCAGCAGCAGGAATCAGAGAGGGAGAAACCAAAAGACCCAGTTTACAACCAGGAGCAATACGCTCGGATTTAAACAGCAGACTCCGAATTCGCACACTGGCATTGGGCTGCGTGCACACACAGGGGCATTTACATGGGACAGGAGGTCACCCACGAGCAGGCTTCAGAGAGAAGTGAGATGTGGACCTTTTCAGGTGCTCCCTCGGAGCGTCAAGCACATGGAGCGCCTTCACTAGAACTCCACCATGAAGGGGTCTGGGGGAAGCAGAGCCGTTGTTTCTGTGATGGGAGAGTAGTACAGTAACTCCTCACTGAAAGTAGTCCCGGTTAAAGTTGTTTCGTTGTTACGTTGCTGATCAATTAGGGAGCATGCTCGTTTAAAGTTGTGCAATGCTCCCTTCTAACATCGTTTGGCAGCCGCCTGCTTTGTCCACTGCTTGCAGGAAGAGCAGCCCGGAGGAGCTAGCTGGTGGGTGGGTGGAACCAAGACCGGCAGCCCCCCTAGCAGCTCCCCTATGTTCCCTGTGCAGCAGCTGCCCAGCAGGCTAGCAATTGCAGCTGTCCCTCCCCCCACTGCCATGTGCTGCTCCTGCGCTCTGCCTTGGAGCTGCTCCCCGAGACTCCTCTTGCTGTGTGTGGGGGGGGGAGGAAAAGGGGGCTAATGTCAGGGTGTCCCCCTCCCCCCTGCTCCTGCATCCCGCTTACCCCATCTTCCATAGAGCAGGGGGGACACAAGACAGAGGGAGCTTCCAGGCAGCAGCAGGGTCTCAGCTTGCTGATCTAATTAACAAGGCAGTGTACTTCTGACCCCACTCTTCATACTTAAAGGGGAAATGCGCATCTCTCTCTCTCTCACACACACACACGGTGTGTCTCTCTGTCTGCCCTCCCTCCTTTCCTGCTGCCTTGTACAGTAGAGTGTGAGAGTTAACCCTAGAGGGCTCAACCAATTGCTAGTTCATCATTAGCAGTAAGGGAAATATCCCACCTTCGGACTCCTCCACCACAACCAAGCTTCACAATCATCATCACTGTGTACCAGTATTAAATTGTTTGTTTAAAACTTATAGTGTGTGTGTGTGTGTGTGTGTGTGTGTGTGTGTGTGTGTGTGTGTGTGTGTGTGTGTGTGTGTG